GGCATCCTATAGACAATATTCATTTAAATGAGAGATTTGTATGGGGGTGTTCTCATACAGTATATGTTGAGCACTGTATCAGCCAATCACGTCCCAGCAACTCAATCAATTTTGACATGTAGACTTGGTCAAGACAATCTGCTGAAATCCAAAACTGAGATATAAGAAAGAAAGCGAATCTAAGTGACTTTACATTTTGCATGGCTGTTGGTGCCTATGGTGATTTGCACAAACCACCATTAGGGAGTACAGAGAATGGTTTGAAAAGAGAAAATTTCCAATTATTTGGGTAAAAATGTCTTGCTGATGCCAGAAGACCAGTCTGGTTTGAGCTTATAGAAATGCCATAGTATCTCAAACATCGTTCATTAAAAACAAGGTCTGCAGAAGAGCATCTCTGAGCATACAACACTTTGAACCTTGAAGCAGATGAGCTACAGCAGAAGAAGAGCACATCAGTGACACTTATGAGAACAACAAACTGGCTACAATTCACTTTGATTCACCAAAACTGGACCATCAACTGGGCATGACTGAATGTCTTATCCGAAGAGTCTCCATTTCTGCTGTGAAATACACATCCCAAGTAAAAATACTTCAAGAACACGTCAAAATTATAATTGATTTAATTGTCAAAACATTACATAAGGACAAGTGTAAAAACAATTCACAATTGATTACAGGACAGGGTACATTTCTACAGCATTTTGATGCCAATATTTGACGTCAATTAGATGTCTTTTGATATCAAGGTAGTTTACATCCATTGAATCCAGTGTAATGCGTAACTGAAGCCTTTAAGATGTATAAACTTTCCTCATATTATAATATGTCTTGTCTTCTTAAACTTGGTTGTCGAAAGAGCATGAATGTGTGGATGTCAAGTGGATGTCAAGTTTTCATATCAAATCGATTTGCAATTGGAATCCATCTGGCCTTGCATCATAGACCAGACTGTTAGTGGTGGTAGGATGTACTGGGGGACTTTTGGTTTGTATTATATTTGTGTTTACCATTTCTATAATCCCATTTGATAACAGTGTATATCTTGCGATGGCTTCTTCCAGCAGGACGATGTCAATGTCATATCATGTCATGTCACTATGCTCAGATCATCTCTACTCAAATGGCTTCCAGTCACCAGGTCTCAATCCAAAAGACCCCCTTTGGGATGTGGTGGAGTGGGAGATTTGCATAATGGATGTGCAGCTGACAAATCCACAGCAACTGTATTATGGTGTCAAATCTCAAAATGGAGATTTTTTCTACATTGTTAAATCTATAACACATAGAACTAAAGCAGTACTGAAAGGCATAGTTCACTTAACAATGAACATTTACTCATTTACTTGCACTGAAGTGGTTCCAAACCTTTATGAGTTTCTTTATTCCATTAAACAGAAAGAAGATAATTTTGAAGAAAGCTGAATGGTGATCACATAGTCTGTTTGTGTGTCAGGACAGCCCCTGAGGAAGTGTCTTAATCAAACACCCTCTCCTCACCTCTCACATTCACTGCATTGCATTTACACACATCTCCCTTATGATGGCGACTGGGCTGCAGGGATATGTGACAGTTTACGACATACATAGACAAAGCTTAAGGCTAGCCCTAGACTTGTATGTGTGAGCAGTCTTAATGAAAATAACTTGGAGTGGCATATAGTCAAGGCTGAAATTATTCATACCCCTGACAAATTCTGACTGATATATTGTGTTCAAATGTAAATAAAAGCAGATTTTTTCCCCCCACCATGATGCCTCTTGTACATTGTCTTATTATCTTTTGGGAGCCTGTGCCAACTTACTGCTTAAATAAAAGTAACTCTAAAGAGCTCCTATTATGCATTATAAAAGACCATATTTTGGTTTTGGGTGTTTCCAACAACAGCCTGATATGCATGCAAGGTTAAAAAACACTTTCACTGTCTTATTATATGAGTATTTTCTTATCTAATTAACCCAGTGACTACAGTAAGATTTGTTCAGAGATTCATTTGTTCCCAAACCGATCCTTTGTGTAAGGCTAATTATATTCTACTTTTAAATCTAACCCCAAGTAATAACACTAGCTATGTTTCCATCCAAAAATGTGAATGAACTTTATGCGCAAAACTGGATAATTGCATAAAAGATGTGCGAATATGCAATGAGTCAAATCAAACAAAATCGTCCCTTCCTGATTAATTGGCGCCAACTATCAACTGTAAAAACTGAATTTGCTGTGGTAGGAGAAGCTGCGTCAATCTTTTCTTCATTTAATAAATCACTTGCGCCTCAGAAAGCAATCCTTACATGCAGTGAACCTGCGATGGTGTTTGAAGGTGTCAGACGCAGAGCACAGACGCTCTTGATTCTGGAGGTCATTAATAACATAATAACACTAATACTAAAACGGTAAGGCGTTTTATAATGACCAAAACAACATTACAGATGTTTTACAGTGTGTTCAGCCTGCTGGTTTGTCCATTCACACACATTTTTACCATCACATGATCTCTATTAACAAAATCACATGACCTTTTATAATGCGCTTGCTGGAGTTTGTTTAAAAGTGTTTCCATCACAGTTTATGCGCATCTTTTCTTATCAAATAAAAAGTTTATCCTACTACATATGTTTTTTATGCACATTTCCAAATTTATGCGCATCATGGCTTTACATCACCGTTTTTTTATGCGCATATGCAAAATGCACTTAAAAATAGATGGATGGAAACATAGCTAATGACACACATTCAGTATTAATCCACACAGTTGCAAGAGTTTAACTATTTTGAAAATTGACCGCGCCACGCGTTTGTAGGAATAGCTGATGGTGGCCATTGCAGAGACTAACGGAAGCGGATCGCAAGTTTAGAAATGCATTTAAATTGGTAAAGGAAGAAGCAAGCTTCACGTTTTTAACATGGTTTTGGACGCAATATGTGAATAGCCCCATACAGGTTTAACCTGAGATATACAGTACAAGCACTGATCTATTATAGATACGTGATTACAAACAGTGTGGAGCGATTACAACTTATAACACACAATTAAATGGATATTTTGCAAACTATAGAAAGTGAGGGAACAATTTTAATTACACTTACGTTGTGATTCAGAGAAATAAGCAATTGGTCCATATGAACTGTAACGGTTACTGACAAAATGCCTTTCAAAGTTTGACAGTCACATACAGTCTCTGCTGCTCCTTGCTTTATTAGCAAACGGTTGACGAATCCCACGCTGCAGCGTAGGTTATCGTAACAGAAAAATAACAGGAACAAACACAGCACTAGGCTGGCTACTGTATACTATGGTGTTGTTGTGAAAATGAATTTTAACCCTTTATTCCCTGCAGCCGAATCTCTATCTGTCAGTCATTGTCATCTTCATGCCATGATCATGATCCCGCGGGCTCCGCTAGTGTCTGAAGTGAAAGGCGCATTCCTGTTTTACCACACTAGGCAGTACATTTGGTGATGTACCGTATCGACATTGATGCGTTCAAGCAAAAGATCCGAACCCAACTCGATTTATTCTTTCGACTTGGAGTCGACTATTTCATTAAAAGTTCAATACGGCAAACTTTCAGATTTAAACCTCAGCTGGATGTTTTAATTCTCTGAAAGCTGTGCTACACACTGCATGGAAGCTCATTTTCAAAAAAACCCTATAGGGGCTCTTTAAATCACAATTTGCAAGGGGTAGCCTGCTTATAATTTTGGGTTTGACTATATTTTATAGAATGTCAGTATCATTGATTTGTTTCAAGACACACATTAGCCATGTGTTTTTGAGTAAGTCATTTTTATAAAAGCTGCTTGCACCCCAATATAACTAAAGCCTAGCCTTGAAGCTAAAGCCTGTTTGTAAAACGAGGCCATAATGCCAATCAGTAAAAATAATTTACTATCAAAATGGGAATAGCTTCCAAGCCAACATACATTGTCATAAAACATTAATATTAGGTTAGATTTAGGCCACCAGCATCTAAGGACAATGTTACTTTGATGTCCAATAAAAATGTGAAAAGACATTGACATTTGGTTGCGTTTATGTTGTGTTGGAAAGTGACTAAAATCCAACGTTGAGCCAACATCTTAAACCAATGTCTTACTTACGTAAAATGCTGACATTTATTCGTCAGGTAAGACAACCAAAATCCAACGTCTGGTAACGTTCACAATGTCAAGCTGTAACATCATTAGACATTGATATTTTGTTGTTTTCAGGTTGTGTTGGAAAGTAATCAAAATGCAATGTCTGTCCAATGTTGGACATTGATGTTGGCCAGACGTTGGGTTCTGACGCCAGTCTGATTCAACTTCACACAATGTTGGGGTCATTGGTTGGAGTACAATGTCAATCTGACGTCATGTTGAAGTCCTGTGCCGAGAGGGGTCTGGCTGCAGACCTGGTGCAATGCAATCTGGGCTGCATCCAATGCTTTTTAATGGGCTCACCTAATCGCACCAATAACCCTACTCGTCACAGTGACGTCACTAGCTTCATTTGAGTGCATTGTGTCTGACATTGCATCGCTGAGTGATGCAGTCTCAGCTTGCATCATAAAGGCTGCATTCAGATACTGTTGCCTGTGCCTGCTGGGTTTCCAAGGGAAATGGCTAATTAATTAAACTGGAAAAAATGTATGGGGTTTTAAAGCAGCAGGATTTTTTAACAATACATAATGCAAGGATGATGCAAAAAATTATAAATCAAGTTACACTGCAGTAATGTTTGAATGTAAGAATGCTGGTATTTGTTTCAAATGATGTTTCAGTGATATTAACCAACAAACAACAAAGGCCCGTTTACTTAATAAAATTTTATTTACTGTGTGTGTGTGTGTGTGTGTGTGTGTGTGTGTGTGTGTGCGTGTGTGTGTGTGCTTTTATTATAAGTTCGTAAAAATATTGTCAAATCATTAGAGCGGCAACGTCAGCATACCAAGACTCTTATTTTGACATGTCTTGAAGTATTAAAGGCGGAAGTTATGTTTTCTGTTTTTAGGGTAAAGTTCACGGGCGATATTCGACCTGTCAAATATTGAGCTTTAGAGTTTGAGTCTATCACGTCCACATCAGCAGCATGTTCGCATTAAAGACATTAAGGAGTTTTTCTCCTGCGGCAAAAAATGTTTATTTGCGGAGTAAACAGGCTATTGCAGTGGCTGTGTCGAGGTGAGAGCCATTTATAGTTTTCTTAGATTTTGCAGTTTCTTAAAAAGGAATCTTTGTTTTAACTTAAATTTTACTATATATTATCTTCACGCAGAATTCGAATACATTAATTAAATAAAAGTAAATAATAACAAAGAAAACAAACATCTTAAAAAAGGTATTGCTCAGTGTAAAAAAAAGCCCAGCTGACGTTACTAGAACTTAAATATAATGTAAATATAGAGATTAATATAATTAATTTAGTAATAATTATAATTTATTTTAAGAAATGTAGTTAATTAAGAATAGGTTTGATCAAAGATTAATGTATTTGTAACAGAAAATCAAAAATATCACCTGCCACTTTCATTAGGTATGAAGAATTTATGTAATCATAATGACACAAGACAGCTGGTCATCATAGGGTCATCATCTTAAATGATTTTAGTTAAACTTTTGTTATTGACTCACTGTAAAATCATTTGATTCAAAAACAGATTTATTCAGGAGCAAAAATGCACAACTTTTATGCTTCATCAGGAACTATTTTTGTTGAGATAACAAAATGCAGACAATGCTTTGTGTAAAATGGAAATCAGTATGATTTTTTTAAATTTATTTATTTATTTATTTATTTTTAAGCCAAGGCTATTTTAAGATATTGATTTGATTCACAGAATGCAGCATGCGGAGCTCCAGCATGGAGAAACAGCAGCACCATTTCGACCTGAAACATCCATGGCCAAAACTCTGATGGACATCGGTACCAGGCGGATCTTCTCAGAGGAACACGACCTGTTCAGGCAAAACGTGCGGAGGTTCTTTCAAGAGGAAGTTGTTCCTTATCACGCTCAGTAAGTCAGCAGTTAGAAGAAAATGCACACTTCACACAGAAATGCCAACTCACCCAGCCGAGGCTCGATTGAGGCTCGAACCAGCGACCTTCTTGCTGTGAGGCGACAGTGCTACCCGCTGTGCCACCGCACCGCCCTACAGAAGTTATGTTAATGTTAATTAAATCCCTTAACTTCATGTTAATTCTCCCTTATCCCAATTAATTTTATTAGCTCCATTAAATTAATCAGTTATGACTTTAGATTTGTAGCAGTAATTAAATATTACCTAGGAAAATAGCATCACATAACAAGTAGTTTCTTCTCTTCAGCTCAGTTTAACTGACTAACCTTAACAACTAGAGTCTGATTGTAAAGTGTTAACAAATCATATCCCTTTAAAGCAGGGTTCACCAAACTTGTTCCTGGAGGGCCGGAGTCCTGCAGATTTTAGCTTCAACCCTAATCAAATGCACCTGATCAAGCTAATCAAGGTCTTACTAGGTATAGTTGAAACACCCAGGCAGGTGTGTTTAGGCAAGTTGGAGCTAAACAATGAAGGGACACTGGCCCTCCAGGACCGAGATTGGTGACCCCTGCTTTAAAGGATCAATGTAGGCCTAATTAACATAAACCAGTAACATGTGAAGAAGCCTATTGACATACAACCACAACAGATATACTTTTAAAAATAAAGGTTATTTAATGGCGTCAGACAGTGGTTCCATGAAGAACATTCATTCTAAAGGTTCTTTATAGTGCAAACAGGTTATTTATTATTATTATTATTTTTTTATTTTATTGTTATTATTATGAAGAAGGCGTTATTTAAAGCAATTAGAAACCTTAATTTTTGAAAGTGCACAAATTTGAGCAAAAGTCAAACCTTTTGAAAGCATCACTGTTTTCTAAAAGCAACAAAAATATGTTGGTTTCCACTTTATGCCAAATGTCAAATTTCCTGACTTTCACTGACAGAAAAGCTGAATTTCTGTGACCTACAATAAACTGAAAAACAAGCAGCCGTTGAGCTTAGGTTAATTAGGTTACAGCCTCTTTCCAAGATGGATTAAATTAATTTATTTCCTCAAAATTCCACACACGATACCCCATAATGACAATGTGAAAAAGATTCTTTGAAATTGTTGCAAATTTATTTAAAATAAAAAAGCTGAAAATCAAATGTACATAAGTATTCACAGCCTTTGCTCAATACTTTGTTGATAATTACTTTAGCAGCAATTACAGCCTCAAGTCTTTTTGAATATAATGCCACAAGCTTGGCACTCCTGTCTTTGGGAATTTTTGCCCATTCCTCTTTACAGTACCTCTCAAGCTCTATCAGGTTGGAAGGGAAGCGACGGTGTATAGCCATTTTCAGATCTTTCCAGAGATGTACAATAGGATTTAGGTCTGGGCTCTGGTTGGGCCACTATATTTTGGCTATATTTTGGATTTCATCATCTTTGGATCAAATTACAAAAAGGTTAATGCTTGTGTAAGATGTTTCTGATGCAGCATCTGTAGGATCTGTAGGATCTGTAGCAAGTGTAGGACAGTAAATTTGAAACTTCTGGTTGCCATTATCAGTCTAACACATGTTTTTATCCCCTCATTTTGGAAGTTGTGAAAGCACTATCATGGAGTTTTCTTTTATTTGAGCAAATTGGAAGGTAAAAAAGAGGTATTTAAGTTTAAGTTTGACAAACTATGATGACTTCCACTGCTGAGAATCCCAAAATGTGAAAGGGTCTCAATCTTCTTAAAAGTGTTTTAAAATGTTCTATTTAATAATAAATTGTTTATTCAGTGTATTTTGAAGAAATGTATGTTCATTATTAAAATAAAAAGTATTATTGAATATCTGCACATCGAGATGTGACAAGATACAGAATAAAAATATGAAGGTAAATGGTTTTAAATGAATGAATCTGTGTGTGTGTAGGTGGGAGAAGGCCGGTGAGGTCAGCAGAGAGGTTTGGGAGAAGGCTGGAAAACATGGTTTACTGGGAGTTTACACACCTGAGGAACATGGAGGAATCGGAGGAGATCTGCTGTCTGCTGCTATAGTGTGGGAGGAACAGTGAGTAGCCCCGCCCCTTTACTGTGTGTTACAATAGTTCCTTCCTTAACTGTCTGCTGCAATAGTGTGGAAGGAGCAGTGAGTAGCCCCTCCCCTTACTGTGTGTACAGTAGTTCCTTCCTTAACTGTCTTGTGCCATAGTGTGGGAGAAGCAGTGAGTAGCCAGCTGCCATTTTCGTGTGGAGTTTGCATGTTCTCCCCATGTTCGCATGAGTTTTCTCTGGTTGCTCCGGTTTCCCCCACAGTCCAAAGACATGCGGTACAGGTGAATTGAATAAACTTAATTGGCCGTAGTGTATGTGTGTGGATGTGTGTATGGATGTGTCCCAGTAATGGGTTGCAGCATTTGTACTATGGAAATTTAAAACATTATTTTTGAAATAAAAATTTTCTGAAGATAAAACTGAATCTCACTAATTTGTAACTTTATTACTGACTTATTCATATGAATCTGTATGATCTCATTCGTACATTTTTTGTATGAATTTGCTAATCCTCTAATAATGGTTGGGTTTAGGCGTGGGGTTTGGTGCCATGCCTCCTTTTAAAAATTTTACATTCACAATTTCAAATGGGTAGTTATTAAAAACTTAAATAAAGTACTTTGATACTTGGTTTAAGTTTCTACTTCCTTGAACTCTAATTTGAAGTGCGATTCGGTCTTAATTGTTGCCTAATTTAAAATTCACTAAGTGAACTGGAAATTAAAATCCACTTAAATTCTTAATGTTGCACATATCTGTTGGCACAGTTTTTTTTCCCACCTTTGCTTTGTCCTTTTTTGTGTTGTGATGTATTGTGTGTTCTGTTTGTGTTGTAGAATGTACAGTAACTGCAGTGGTCCTGGCTTCTCTCTCCACTCTGAGATTGTAATGCCTTATATCAGTCACTATGGCTCTAAAGCTCAGATTGAGCGCTATATTCCACAGATGGCTGCTGGGAAATGCATCGGGGCCATCGCTATGACAGAACCTGGTGCCGGCAGGTAAACTGCATTATAGGCATTACATTAAAGTGGATCTATTGTGCAAAAATAACTTTTTATGAGGGGTTTAAACAGCTGTGTGGCAGCAGTGGGTGAATATATCCAGCCTCTTATTGTAAAAATGAATGTGATACACTTGATAAAAACCGTCTGCAGAAATGATTTGATTGACATTCTACCTGTTGTACGTGTCATCAGAGGGAGAAAGCCCTGCCTATTAATCACAATCTCTCCCTCATTAGCAAAAACAGCTCTAAGTGAGAAGCAGCCGTCCGCCGTTAAAGTTTTAGAATGCCCAAATGAACACCATTGTCTCCACAGACTGCCTTCTCCTGAGACACTTCTTTTTAGATTTTCACATAGATTGTTGTTGCCAAGAAGGCGCTTGTTGAAAAGAGCACAATCTCATTTGATTGATTCACCAAAATGGCACCACAATTTGGATCAAAGCCTAAAAGGGGCAGTTACAAAGAGCTACAAAAAATTATTTGTGTGGTATTTTGAGCTGAAACTTCACTTACACATCCTGTAGACATCAGCGACTTATTTGACATCTTGTAAAAAGGCACATAATTGGTCCCCCTTAAAGAATAAATGACACTTTAGTCCCTTGGACGGTTTTAAACAAATAAACCTCACTGTTGATCATATTTTAATGCTTAAAGTGTCATATTTGGATCTATTTTTTGTCACCGCTTCACTTCAGTTAGTCTGTTTTGTGCCTGAAGTGACCTTCAAGGAGTGAAGACGTTTGCGAAGAAGGATGGAACTGACTGGATTCTTAATGGAAGCAAGGTATTAATGCTGGCATGCAATGCAAAATGTATTGTTAATTAGTCATATCATCAGTTTTTATTTATTTACTGTGGTCTCATTTTAATGCAAGTGTACCGCAAAATACAAATGAAAATACAAGAAATGAAAACAGCAGAAATAGTTTGAAAATATACTTTAAAATGTAAAGTTTTATAATAAATTAAGAATAATCTACAGTGAAATGATGAGAATAAAAAAACAACAAAAAAAAACAAACAATATTGATGACAAATAAAACTCGCATAAACTAGAATCATAAAACGGTGCATGCACATTGAAGGTAATAGTAATGTAAAAGTGTTGATTGTTTATTCTTTGTTGATTTGTATTGTAATTTGCACATTTTCATTTATTATTTATTGATAAAAACAAAACTTATTTAAAGGTCCAATGTATTGACACACACATACACACACACACACACACACACACACACACACATGCATATATATGCATACATACAGTTGAAGTCAGAATTATTAGCCCCCCTGAATTATTCGCCCATAATTTCCCCCAATTTCTCTTTAATGGTGAGCAGATTTTTTTTACACTATCTAAACATAATAGTTTTAATAACTCATCTCTAATAACTGATTTATTTTATCTTTGCCATGATGACAGTAATTAATATTTGACTAGATATTTTTCAAGACACTATACAGTTTAAAGTGACATTTAAAGGCTTAATTAAGTTAATTAGGGTAACTAGGCAGGTTAGAGTAATTAGGCAAGTTATTGTATAATGATGGCTTGTTCTGTAGACTATCGGGAAAAAAAATAGCTTAAAGGGGCTAATAATTTTGACTAAACTACTTTTATTCTAGCCGAAATAAAACAAATAAGACTTTCTCCAGAAGAAAAAACATTTTCAGACTTGCTATGAAAATATCCTTGCTCTGGTAAACATCATTTAGGAAATATAAAAAAAATTCAAAGAGTGGGCTAATAATTCTGACTTCAACTGTATATATTAATTCAATAATAATATGTGCTGCAGCATTGTGTTGGCGTCTTTCTTCATGTCCAATGCGATAAATATTATATTCCTTTATGCTTCTGATTTTTACCAATTTTTTTTTCTGAATTGTTCAATAATAACAAGTGCCAGTGAATGGCTTTAGGCAGTGATGATGAAGTAGAAACTGATCTCTTGATATCTGTCAGTTTTACTCTGGCGTATTTATCTCTATCATCACATTAAAACAGGAATAAGCACAAAAATGAGTTTTTGGATGGTCTACTGCTTTTAGGCTAGAGGGTTTAGACCATTTACTACTTTTACCAGGGTGTCAGTGGGGTCTTAAAAAGTCTTAACTTACAAAAACTAAATTCTAGGGCTTAAAATGTCTTAGTTGACTAAAATGGGTTGTAGGTCTTTTAAACAGGTGTTGTTTTTTTTTTTATGTTCATCTAAAGCTACCTAATTGGACTTATGTGCACCCAATCACCAACAGTCTATCTCAATAAAACTTGTAACAAAGGTTTAATTTATTAGTTTTGTTTACTTGTATGGTTTAATAATCTTTCTTGCATTCAAACTTGGTTAAAAGTTCTTAATGTATTTTTAGCTACCTGATGAAGACACTGACCTGGACAGACAATGGATTGTATTGTGCATACATTTTTTTTTTTTAAGAAAAGCTGTTGGAAAAAAAGTCTACGTAGCAATTAGTTGCTTGTTGAGACACATTATTTAAAATATTTGGATAATATTTTTAATGAATAACCAAGTTATTTTTTTTAATGGAGCAAGTAAAAATCTTTTCCACTGACCTAACCGGACCATTATAAAAAAACCCTTAGCATCTAGCCAAGTATTATCTAAAATTTAGTTCATAATGGACTTAAAAAGTCCTAAATTTGATTGGTGTAACCTTTTCTCCAAGTTTATTGGTTGTTTTGAGATGTCTGAAATTTAAAATTGGGTTTTGTTAAACAGAGGCTTTTTAATTTTTTTTTTTTTAGGTGTTCATCACTAATGGCTGGATGAGTGATGTTGTGATTGTAGTTGCCGTCACTGACCGTGAAGCAAAGACAGCCGCTCATGGAATCAGTCTGTTTCTGGTTGACCGTGGCACTAAGGGCTACCAAAAAGGCCGCAAGCTGGAGAAACTTGGACTCAAAGCTCAGGTGTCCCTTAAAGCTTTTTATTTATAACATCTGTTTAAAAGGATAGTCACTCGAAAATGAAAATTCTGTTATCATTTAGAGTACTCATCCTCCACTTGCTATAAACCTGTTTGGATTTCTTTTTGTAGTCAAACACACAAGAAGATACAGTATACTGAGGTCTGATTAAAAAATAAATAAATAAATAAATAAAAAACCAACATTGACTCCTACAAGTGGCTGGTTTTTCCCTTAATATTCTTCAGAAAATCTTGTTTTGTGTTCAACAAATGAGGGAAATAAAAACGTTAAATGGATAGTTCGTCATTTACTCACCTTCACTTCAGTTTTTGACCTTTCTTTCATTGAACACAAAAAAAAATATATTTTGAAGAAAGCTAGAAACCTGTAACCATTGACTTCTATAGTATTTGCTTTTTCTACTATGGAAGTCAATGGTTACATGTTTTTAGCTTCCTTCAAAATATCTTCGTTTGTCTTTAATTACAAAAAAAAAAAAAAACTGTTAAGGTAATGTAGAGTAAATGTTCATATTTGCTTCAACTATCCTTGTGAGTAATGGTGTAAATTTATATGGTGAGAATTGTAATTTTTGGGTGAACTGTCTCTTTAAATGTACAGTATACAGCCAATGTAAGAGTTAACTTTTTTTTGGTAGACATACGTGGTTTAATATAGATTAATAAAGAGGTCTTTGTTTCTGTGCAGGACACAGCTGAGCTGTTTTTTGAGGACGTGCGTTTGCCTGCTGAAGCTTTGTTGGGTCAGGTCAATAAAGGATTTTACTATCTGATGAACGAGCTGCCTCAGGTAAAGATTGAGAACACAGATCTACTGCTGTTTTTTATTGCTTTTAGTATTCTTAGTAAGTCTACAAAAGACGTGACTGAAAACATGATATTTCTTCTGAAAAGTTCAGATTTTTTTTTTTCAGTTGAAGTCAAAATTATTTGTTTTTCTTTTTCAATTATTTCTCAAATGATGTTCAACAGAGCAAGGAATTGTCACAGTATTTCCTATAATTTTTTTTTTCTGGAGAAAGTCGTTTTTGTTTTATTTTGGCTAGAATAAAAGCAGCTTAGATTTTATTAATAAAAAAAAACATTTTTAGCTCAATATTAGTAGCCCCCTTAAGCATTTTTTGTTTGATTGGCTACAGAACAGAAAGTATACAATGACTTGCCTAATTAACCTAGTTAAGTCTTTAAATTGCACTTTTAAGTTCAATTCTTGTATCTTGAAAAATATCCGGTAAAATATTATTTACCTTCATCATGGCAAAGATAAAATAAATCGGTATTAGAAATGAGTTATTAAAACTACTATGCTTAAAATGAATAAATCTTCTTTCTGTTGAAAAAATAGTGGGGTTAATAATGAAGGACGCTAGTAATAATAAAGCTAATAGTTCTGACTTTAACTGTATATATGGCTCATAAAGTAGTGTTTCTAGAAATGTACAGAAACTAGTATTATTCTTATTATTAGAGTTGATTTACCCAACTTCTAAAAATGTCAAGCACACAACAAGTTCCCTAAATTTCTTTCTCTGTCATTCTGCAGGAGCGCCTTCTCATAGCAGTCATGGGTCTTGCCAGCTGTGAATTCATGTTTGAAGAGTCAAGAAACTATGTGATGCAGCGGAAGGCGTTTGGAAGGACTATTGCTGACCTTCAGGTGAGGATAAAAAATGTATTTGTTTTATGACAAATAATAAGTCTCCATTTTCTTTCCTAATCTGCAATTGGTTGGGTTTAGGGAAGTGGGCGGGCGCTGGTCAATCTGTGCTTTTTTAAACACTGTCAGTTGGGTTTGGGGAGATGGTGGGTAAGTTGATCAATCGGTTGGTTGTCAGTCAGTCAGTCAGTCGACAACAGCCTCTGGTGGATTACGGAAGAAGAGCAGGTGTGAATGGCAGGTGTGAAATTTGACACCTCAAAAAGCATACACAGCGGCCTCGGGTGGATTCGCTAAAAAAGCTGCAAAAAAACGTAGCTCCTGGGACGTATTTGGCGCTCTCCATAAATGTATATAGGGGTACATTATCAGAATGAGCCTATGTTGAATATTTTACTAGATATTTTTCAAGATACTAGTATTCAGCTTAAAGTACAATTTAAGGGCTTAACTAGGTTAGTTAGGTTTAATTAGGTTAATTAGGTTTAATTAGGCGAGTCATTGCATAACGATGGTTTGTTCGAAAAAAAATATTGATTAAGGGGGCTAATAACATTGACCACAAAACGTTTTTTCGAAAAATGAAAAACTGCTTTTATTATAGCCAAAATAAAACAAGACTAAAATAAGACGACAAAAAGTTGTAGGATATCCAGTAAAGATTTCTCTGATCTGTTAAACCTCAATTGGGAAAGATTTGAAAAAGAAAACAAAAAATCATAGGAGGGCTTATAATTTTGACTTCAATTGTATTTTTCTCTCAATTGTGTTGCTTCGATAAGTTACATACTTTTATAATAGCCTCATTGACTCATTTACAAAATGACCTGCAATTAAATACTGCATGGAAGCTATTGCATTTAGACTGAAGTGAACAGGAAGTAAACTCCAGCTAAAATTTAAAGTTATAGTCATTAATAAAATAAATTAAGTTATACATATTAATAAAACGTATGCAATCTGCACCCTCGAAATGAAAGTACAAAGATTGCCACCTGGTGGTGCAAAGAGAAAACTTATTGATATGAACTTTTTAGATCGCTTTAGTACAAATTGTGTATAATAGAAATGCACAATATGCGACTTTTTTTAAAAGCAATAATACATTTCAGCAGTCATAAACATGTTTTGATAGTTAATATGCCGGTGATTTGATGCTTCACAAAAGTTGCAGACGCCTTTACCAATCGCTTTTGTAAACAACCAGTTATTCTTTACACCGATTAAAAAATGGCTACTATAATAAAGAAAATATTTTCTAAATGTAGAACTAAATGCATTGGTTTGCATTGAAATACATGATGAATACACTTGACACATGAAAGTGGAAAGCCTGCAGCTCACAACAAATGTGGAAGGTTATTGCGTGTCATATTTAACAAACAGTTTACTGCTAATTTGATGTAATTTTGCTCACATGGATAATTGAATATTAATCAGATGATGTCATTACGCTGCTGTGCCGTCAGCCAATCGTTGCATTGCTGATCATGATTTCGAGGATCGATAGATCTGTCCTTCACAACACACGCAGCGATCTCAGATCAGTTCATCCAGACATTCTAATCTGATTCGCGAACTTGTTTGAAGAACCAAATTAGCGAGAGATCAGTTATCAAGATTAAAAGATCCAGGATCTGTCAAATAATCTTAGATCATTTAAGTGAGGTACGAAGAACGGACCCCTGTTGCACAAAGCCAAACTTAAGATGCTCAAGAAGATGGGTTGATTTTGATCAGGTTTCATCACCATTGTGACTTGGTTAGTTAGAACTTTATTTGTTCCCTAGTGGCAATTCATGGAGCATACAAGTAGCCTATAGTGAAATTTACAAATACATACATATATTTACACACATACAGTTGAAGTAAGAATTATTAGCCCCCCTGAATTATTTGTTTATTTTTTTCCCATTTTCTGTTAAACGGAGGGCAGATTTTTTTCTAGCACATTATAGTTTCCAGCACATAATAGTTTTAACTATAACTCATTTCTAATAACTGATTTATTTTATCTTTGCCATGATGACAGTAAATAATATTTGTCTAGATATTTTAAGATACTTCTATACAGCTTAAAGTGACATTTAAAGGCTTAACTAGGTTAATTAGGTTAACTAGGCAGGTTAGGGTAATTAGGCAAGTTATTGTATAATGATTGTTTGTTCTGTAGACTATCTGGGAAAAAAATAATGGACAGATTAATCGATTATTAAAATAATCGTTAGTTGCAGCCAGGCCCGGATTGGCTAATCGGGAGCACCGGGAGAATTCCTGGTGGGCCGGTCCGTTTTTTGACCGTAAGGGTCGGTGTCCCTAGCTGCTTGCACTCTCAGCAGTTACACTTTTTGTTCATCTATTTATTTATTTGCCCAGCTTCACTCTTTTTATTCATTATTTTACCGCAGCGCCGCTCTTCTTATTTATTTTCTTGCAGCCCCGTGAGCCAAATGCAACCTGCAGGTTAACTAACGTAATGATGATGTAACATTAACTATCATCATTCGACCCCAAACAGCGAATTCGAGAATTCAAATAATAAATATTAATGAATAATACACCTGCTCAATCATAGTCCAATACTTATTTTTTCGCTGAAATAGCGCTATTGTGGACCAGTGGTAAATACGATGTATTATGACGCTGCTGACCTGTGTTTGAATCTCACCTGGAAAATAATGTTTTTTTTTTTCATTTTTATTGTTAAGACATAATACTGTTAGGGCTTTGGAACATTGGAATTTCTAAAGCAGCTGTTTTCTTGAAAAAGATGTGATAGTGTCATTAGAAACTGAATTGGAAATGACCTTATTTTAATATAGTCAGTCGTGAACTGAGGTGTGCCGGTCTGGCTTGAAACTCCAGGGCTGAAAATGAGTCCCACTCCGGCCCTAGTTGCAGCCCTAAAACCTACACAAACTTACTTCACTTGCACTAATAAAGCAAGATATTTACTTTGAGCTCTTCTCTTTCATAGAGAATTTCTAAATATTTTTATATTGTTTATATTAATAAACCTTTTAATCTTTTCCTGCGATTCATGCCAACTCTCTCGAGAAGTCAATCACAGTATCTTTATGTTTCACAGCTTGCTTCTGATGTCCCTCTCTCATCTGCACAAGATAGTGAACTCAGGATCAAAGCCTGAGTTTACAGAGAAAATTGATGATCAGATTTATGGTACCAACAAGGCCTGAGTGCACTAGTTTGGTTATGTCAACTCCAAACCTATCCTGTAATCCTGAGTTTGTTCAGCCTGCATCATTGTACAGGCCCCTGATCTTCACCGGTTTGAATTTCTTTGGATTTATCGACCGAAAATGTACTCATTTTGTGCAACAGGTCATATATTTTGTGCAACAACATACTCATTTTGAGCAACACGGTCTAAATAAGCAACTTGGTATCAGTAAATGTTTTATTTAGCTTCAAATTAGCTATTTAATGAGTTTTGAAAGTTTTAAAATGAGTTTTAAAAGTTATAACCTGCTTTATCTCAAAGTATATTTGATATTACATGGTATGATCTGCTAAAAAAAACCCTTGCAGTTGTATTGAGTTTCTGTTCCAGATCCTCACAATTAGTTTCCTCATTTGTTTAGTCTGCTTTTAACCTCTCACGAGGTCAAGGCCACACACTCACTTTGTAACTGTATCCATCCATCCTGTCCGCACTTTGAGACAACTGCTCTGAGAAATTAAATAAGCTCCATTACAAAGTTCATTTGTGCATATGGATGAGCGGCGTCGGTGAGGTCTAAATCAGGTTTGCACTAATAACGCCTCATCATCTTCATCAGAACTGAAAGAGATGGTCTGTCTGTGTTTCAGGTGGTCCAGCATAAACTGGCCGAGCTGAAGACTGAAATCTGTGTAGGTCGGGCATTCATTGACAGCTGCCTTCAGCTCCACAGCGAGAAGAAGCTGGACTCCAGCACAGCGTCCATGGCCAAATACTGGTGAGACTCCTCTTCAGTAAAACAACCTTCTTTCAAAGCAGCGGTTTGCAGTTTCAAAGTCAGGGTTCCCACACTTCTTGAAAGTACTTGTATTTCAGACATATGAATTCAAGGCCTGGCAAGTACTCAAAAACAGACATAGGTCATTGAAAGTGCTTGCATTTAAAGATTATGGTGTCATTTTCAACAATTTTACTGTGCAGCTTTCAAAAACTGAATGAAAAAATCAGGAAATTAATGTAAATAATTAATCTAATGTTAGTTGAAATCTTATATAAGAAGTATGACTAATGATGCTCATTTTATCGATATTTCAGAAACCACATTTGAAAATGATCAGTATTGAATTCTGTGCTTTGAACATGACTGTTTAAAATAGTCTAATTTTAAAAATTGCACATTCAAAACATCATTAGTGACATTTTAATGTAAATATTAAGTGTAGGTGAAATGTTAAGTACAATAAGGACTTAGATGGCGCTATATATGATGGTGGTGTGAATTACAAAGGAGATTTATTTAAAATAATTTAGTGATTAAAATGCAAAGTACCATGGTGCATGGTCTAACAGGGTTGAGCTTATTCTCTTAATGAGTTATAGCTGTGTTTTGAGAATAAACTAATCAGAGTCTCATCTACCATTCTCTTAAAGAGTCAGTTGCATTGCGCCATAGCGCATTTGCTATTTACATGACGGACTTTGTAAGCGGAAAAGCTCAATAGTATCTGGATGCAGCCTTCATGATGCAGCGATGCAATGTCAGACACAATGCACTCAATGGTGTGAGTGATGTCACTGTGACGGGTAGGGTTAGGTGAGCACATTAAAAGCCATTGGATGCACCTTAGGTTGCACTGCACCAGGCCTACATTCAGACTCCTCTCGAAAAACTGAGTGTTTCACTAGTAAGAAAACAGAGCATCACTAGTAAAAAGTTAAACAGAGCATCTGTAGCACGAGAATGAGCCTCCTCATTCTTTACTTTTACTCTTGTGAATAGGGAAATGTGTTGTACTCACAGACATCAATTAGCCTATAAATTAATTAATTTTGTTTGTTAAGCACAAAGATTTGTTTCAAAACTATTTCTAATTTCAGTTCTAATTTCCAGCAAACGAATAAATGAACAAGAATAACGAAGTGTATTCAAAAAACTGAGTTATATCTAAATACACATGCTATGCCCCATAAATGGTCTAAAACCTGACAGGTGGACAAATCTAAGCTTGTTTTTCATAAAGCAAATATAAATATGCAAATAATAAATAACACTGCTAATAATAATAACATTATACAAAAGCAAATTGTTATGAATACACTGAAAAAGACCCCCAAAATGAAGAAGGTATGAAAGTAGGGTTTTTTATATTTATTTAGGCTAGAAAACAATATTTTTTTGTAATATTTTAATCATTTGTAAATATATTTGCGTATTGCTGTACATTTTGTATGTATTAAGCAATGTGTAAGCGAGGCACACAACTAACGCGGCCTGAACTGGACTATAGACCTGCTTTGATCTGGTCTATTGAACAAACTATTATAGTTCCTCAAAATAGTGTATGATAGGGCCCATAATTTTAGCATACAAGCTTGATTATCTTATACTGTTTCATTTTAGTATTTTGGTTTTGAATTTTTTTTCAAACCTTTTCAATTTGTGTCTAGATTGATCTGTTAAAACTCTAAATGAGTATCCAATGGTTTAAATGATTTACAGTCAGTTTTATAATATTGTTTCAGTTTTTAGATATCTGATCCTCGACTATAAAACCTTACGTCTTACGTTGGGCATGGGTACGCTGTCTGATACCCAGTTTTTTTTTTTTTTTTTTTTTACAATCCAATCATGTCATCCCAACATAAAATCGTATAAGTTACCTTTATAGTTTTTACAATTTTAAGTTGATTGAAACAATTAAATTTTGCCCAAAAAACCCTTGTGTTGAGAATTGGGTTGTTTCAGCTCATTTTAAACAAGTAGTTTGAACAAGCAGCAATATACGTAGGAACAGACAACAGTACACTGTAAGGGTCAAAAAGATAATTTTTTTCTTTTTAAGTCAAAAGTATTTATAATATTATGTAGACATTTATGTAAACTATCAACCATAAATATATCAAAACTTAAGTTTAAAGGACACCTATGATAAAAAAAATCATCTTTTGTGAGCTGTTTGGACAGAACTGTGTGTAGGTATAGTGTGTCCACAGTCATATTGGGGTCATATAAAGACAATAAGTCTCTCTCTTTTTTGTTTGTTTTTTGTTTTTATATTAAAATAGAACCCAAATCTCTCCCATTTTCACGCCCACCACAACATGGCGTATGAGTGCAGTTTTCCCGCCCACCTAATTTCATAACATGTCTTTTTCCTTCCTCAGGGCTACAGATTTGCAGAATAGGGTCGCCACTCAGTGCCTGCAGCTTCACGGTGGATGGGGCTACATGTGGGAGTATCCCATAGCCAAGTGAGTAACAAACACTAAACGTCCTTACTCCTGTATTTTATCAGGGCTTGGACAGCGAAATTTTTTGCCCATGTGGATCTGGATAGGCGTTTTACACACGAGCACACACACATACAGTACATAACTTGTACATTCTTGTAATGTAGTCCTCATCAACCCTAGTAACAAATATATCCAGTTATATACTGCCGTATACAGTTGAGTTCAGAATTATTAGCCCCCCTGAATTATTAGACCCCCTGTTTATTTTCCCCCCAATTTCTGTTTAATGGAGAGCCGCTTTTTTTCAACACATTTCTAAACACAATAGTTTTATTAACTCATCTCTTATAACTGATTTATTTTATCTTTGCCATGATGATAGTAAATAATATTTGACTAGATATTTTTCAAGACACTATACAGTTTAAAGTGACATTTAAAGGCTTTATTAAGTTGATTAGGGTAACTAGGCAGGTTGGAGTAATTAGGCAAGTTATTGTATAACGATGGTTTGTTCATTTTGGCATTACAGAAATGGAAGACAAATGAAGTGGGACTTTTTGAGGACAAAAAATATTTACAAGCAAATTTTTAAACGTGTTTACTATATACTAAATCTTCAGAAGATTAAAAAAAAACAAAAACAACTTGTGACTTGAATCCTATGAATCATATTTCGCTTAGAATTGACAGGTTGGCACACTGAGTTTAGTTATTTTCTGTGTGTGTTCTTGACTGATATTGTGTTGTCCAGCAGAGGGCGTGTTTCTCTCAGCTCTGCACTTTCACACCACGATCTCTCCTTTTTTTCTTAGAGCTAAAACTAACTTCAGTTGAATTGTCATTTATAGAAGTGTTTTTGTGCGATATGAAACATTTATATATTTTTTCACCCATGGAAGCTACAGTTTGATTATGCAGCTATCTTGTGTGACTAATCAGGAATCAGACTAGTGTATATATGTCTGTTTTGCTGGCAGCAGATTTACTGTAACTTGTGTAGGTGTAAAATACCTATTTCAGAATCTTCCAGAATATTCACACATCCAAAAAATCTTCCTCATGTTTAATGAAGAATTATTTAACCAAACGTTTTTTAAAAATATAATAAAATTCAGCAGCTTTTTTTGCGGGGGATCTAAATTCAAATGTATCCTATCAAATATTTATACATTCAAAACTTTATTATTTTTGGGGGGAGATGATACATGTCTATTTACATAACTATGAAAAAAACTAAAATACTATATATATATATATATATATATATATATATATATATAAAAATAACCGTGAACCGTTACACCCCTTATATATATATATATATATATATATATATATATATATATATATATATATATATTAGGGGTGTAACGGTTCACGGTTATTTTTATATATTTATATATTATATATTCTTTTTTTTGTGTGGTGAACCAACTTTCACTGTAAAAAATGCAGAGTTCCACCAAATTTAATCATGTCCCAACACAAATCGATTAAGTGAACATAACAAATAAAGGTGGATTGAACATAAAATAATAAAATTTTCCCTAAAAAGAACTCAAGAATGATCGTTTCAGCTCATTTTAAACGTGTAGTTTGAACAAGCAGAAAAATCATTTTCTTGAGTGTTCTCTCTTGACCTGTAACTATTATGTAGAAAAAGTGTAAGTTTGTGAGGTTGACACCCAGTGGTTGAACTAGGAATTGTACATCTGGTTCAAAACGTATGCAAGCGCAGGTTGCCAGATTTTGGACTACAACATATCAGTGATTCAGCGTGTACAATTAATAATGTTAAAGAGGTTTAATATGTGTTAATTAAATTGTAAACTTAACAATTACGTTGGAGTGCAGTAAATGTACTATTCTGTGCTTCCGAATGGCTGTCTCTAAATTTCTGTCATGTTTTGTCTGTTGCAAACAGCCAAATTGTGTAGTTAGAACACAGGGTTACAATTTAAACTGCTAATTAATAGCCACTTCAGGTGGAACTCTGAATATGCGTCTCATTTCAGACACTGCTACTGTCCACCGGAGGTCGCATTTTAGTAACGGACTCATATTTTGAGAGCTTTCCTGACTAAATAAATGAAATGCGCTGTTTTCCACCAAGGCAACCTGGAGTGCTGAAATATAATTGGCTAAACTGGCATTGGGCGGGTTAAAAAAAAAACAAAACAAGGACAGTCATTCCAGCATGTAACTCACATTTTTAAAGCAGAATATCTGACTTTAGCATTGTTTTTCAGATAAGAAGTTCACTTAGCATGCTTCTTAAACATCTGCAAACATATTATGGTATTTTTATGCTTAAGAGGAGTCAAAAACGTACATACAGTACAGCACCTTTAATGTCTGTCTCATTTCTTCCAGGGCGTTTGCAGACGCCAGAGTTCAGCCCATCTACGGAGGAACCAATGAGATCATGAAAGAGCTCATCTCCCGTAACATTGTCAGCAAAAAATAAATACAGGAAAGAAATCAAACGTTGGTGCCTGGACGTTTCAAACGTCTTTAGCTAGCTGGAGCTTCACGGATTGTTGATTTTAAAAATGATCGCAGATGACTCTCTTAATGTATACAAAACATTAAAATCATATGACATTCTGCTAACATCATATGGTCTACGCCGAGAGAATGTAGCCTCTGTTTCTTAATGTTTTTGCCTTCCATATGATCAGTCTGCAGCACTTCTAAACAACAAATGTCATTTTTAGTTGTAAAGTTTTTTTTGTTGTTTGTTTGATATTGTGAATAGCGACTCTTTATCCACTAATAAACCTTTATGAAGACATTTCTAAAGATGCCTCCTCTGTTCTAATCACAATGTGATTCTCTTTTAGTAGTTTGTGAATTAATCACGCTCTGTTATGATTAGTGTAAACAAACAGAGTGTGTGTAAGCGGTGTGTTTTCTGACTCGCTGGCTTTCTGCCGTGTTCATGGTGAGTCATGGAGCTGAGGTGGGTGGTCTGTGTGAGTTAGCTGGTGGGTGTTATAAAGAGATTAAAACCAACTCTTTCCAATGCCGCACTCTTTCTGTCATGGGCATAATTATAGAGCCGTTTTCCTTTTATTCAAAGGTATTCAAATATAGAGGCGTGCTGTGGAAGTTCAGAGAAGCTGCAGATTAGATGGGAGATGAAATTGTCTTCAAAAGTCAATTTGACTGTTGGTCAAACGATAAAAAGGTCATAAATAAATCATTTTGTTTAGTCTTTTATTTTTCAGGATCTAAACGTGCTAGAGTGGTAAATATCCACAGTTGAAGATGTAATATTCATTCATTCTTTCATTTTCCTACAGCTTATTTATTAAGGGCTGCCACGGCAGAATGATATGTCAACTATTCTGGCATATGTTTTACACAGCGTATGCCCTTCCAGCTGCAACTCGGTACTGGAAAACACCCATACACTCTCTCAATTTAGTTTATTCAATTCACCTATAGCGTGTGTGTTTGGACTGTGAGGGAAACCGAAGCACCCGGATAAAACCAAGACGAATACAGGGAGAGCATGCAAACTCCACATAGAAATGCCAACTGACCCAAACGAGACTCGAACCATCAATCTTCTTCTCAGTGGACAATGTTAACCACTGAGCCACAGTGCCACTCTTGAAGAGATTTGGGATTTTATATCTCACGGCAATTCGTAACTTTTTGATTTAGTGGCTAATTCATATGATCTAATTCATACAATTCAGTACAATTTTCTCATCACCCAATGATGGTTGGGTTTAGGGGTGGGGTTATTCTCAATTAAAATTATCAATAGCATGAGAAACCAATGATGAAAATTTGAAATTTCAAATAAACATCCCTTAATTTGCAAAAAACGCATGCTTCAGGTTGTTTTAGACTAAATGGGTTTTCAAGAGTTCACACTTAGCTGATGATTGATAATAAAGCGTATTTGGCATGCTGTCCTTTGAGAGAGCCCTGAGCTCAGAATGTCGTCGAGTCTGGGACTAACTTCACTTGAAGGCTAAGAGGAGAGTTTGAGCTCAGGTAGGTCTCGAGGACTCTCCTGCTTGTAAACGTGCTGAGTTATATCTGGCTTAAGGCTGATTTATACTTCTGCGTCAAACGGCGGCGTATGCTATGACGCTGACGCATAGCCCTTCGCCGTGGCCGTCGGCATCGCTGACGTGCACCTCTCAAAAAATGTAACTACACGTCGCAACGACGAGTAGCGCAAGCTCTGTGATTGGTCGGCTTGGTAGCGCTGATGAGTCTGGGCGGGACCGAGAGCCGCGTGAATGGCGTGAGCCAATGTAGCGATTGTTTACAAGTGTTGAGTCCCGTGAAGGAGCTTTGGGTGGAAAGTTTTGTTTTTTGTTTACCTCGTAGTTAAAGTTGCTGCACATCCGCCGGTTCCTGCCTCAAAATGAGCGAGCTTGAGCCACTTGTACATCCAGGAAGTGTTCAGGAAAAGCAAAAGAGAAGCGAAGAAACTCGACACAGAGGAACATTAACACCTCACTGCCAACTAGCGTTTCGGAAGTGTTAATGGAGACCAACAGAGACAGCGCGCAGAAGTATAAATGCACAGCTACGTGCGTTGCATGCGCCATGGGTTACGCCGGTCACTTGACGCAGAAGTATAAACCAGGCTTTAGAGGAGAGATTGCGCTCAGGTAGGTCTCAAGGACTCTCCTGCTTGTAAACGTGCTGAGATATATCTGGCTTAAGGCTGATTTATACTTCTGCGTCAAACGCCGGCGTATGCTACGACCCTGACGCATAGCCCTTCGCCGTGGCCATCGGCGTGGCTGACGTGCACCTCTCAAAAAATGTAACTACACATCGCAACGACGTGTAGCGCAAGCTCTGTGATTGGTCGGCTTGGTAGCGATGACGAGTCTGGGCGGGACCGAGAGCCGCGCGATTTGCGTGAGCCCAATGTAGCGATTGTTTACAAGTGCTGAGTCCCGTGAAGGAGCTCCGGATGGAAAGTTTTGTTTTGTGTTTACCTCATAGTTAAAGTTGCTGCACGTCCGCCGATTCCTGCCTCAAAATGAACGAGTTTGAGCCACTTGTACATCCAGGAAGTATTCAGGAAAAGCAAAAGAGTGGCGAAGAAACTTGACACAGAGGAACATTTACACCTCACTGCCAACTAGCGTTTCGGAAGTGTTAATGCAGACCAACAGAGACAGCGCGCAGAAGTATAAATGCACATCTACGTGCGTTGCATGCGCCGTGGGTTACGCCGGTCACTTGACGCAGAAGTATAAACCAGGCTTTAGAGTTGTCTAAAGATGATATTTTGAAGTAGTTTGTTTACTTATAGTGTTTGTCTTTTTGACGGTGGGAAGAACCCATCCGAACAAGGGGAGAACCTGCAAATTCCGCAAAAAAAAAAAAACACTGACCGGCCCGGTGAGGCGCCAAACCAGCAGTGTTCTTGCTGTGAGGCAACAGTGCTAACCACTGGGTCGCCGTGCTGCCCTATTAGAGAAGAGTTGGAGTAGAAGTGGAAGGGGGGATTCTTCAAGACTAAGATGACTGGAAAGCTCTAGTTATTTATAGAGTGTCAGTATTCATCTGATTGGTGTAATATACGGAGCTAATGCATTACCAGCTGTGTTCAATCATAAGCACGAAATTGTCTCGAAATCAGTTTATAAATAAACCACACAATGTGAAAAATGGTAATTAGACGTAGCAAACATTACACCCACATCACTCCATTATGCTTTTTTTGTTTACTGTTGGCTGCTAGGTTGCCAATACTACAGTCAGCCACTCTAACAATGATGAATACACACCGAAATTGCAATGTGAGATCATGTTGAACATGTTTGATAGAAACTAGCATTTTGAAGTATCGCATGATAAATGAGTGTTGGAAAGGCCGAAATTTAAATAAGCTTCCATTGATCTGCAAAAAACACATGCTTCAGGTGGTTTTAGACTTGTGTTTAAATGGGTAATGTGTATAATGGTAATTATGGAAATACATTTGTCAAATAAACACAGACGTAGCAAACATTACACCTAAGTCACTCCATTATCCTTTTCTTGTTTACTGTTGGTTGCTAGGTTTTCAATACTACAGTCAGCCACTCTAACAATGATGGATACTCACCTAATTTGCATTTTTAGATCATGTTGATCATGTTTGATAGAAATGTTGCTACTATTATTAACATTAGTCAGTGGTATCGCATGATAAATGAGTGATGGAAAGGCCTGAATTCAAATAAACATTCTATAATTCGCTAAATTAAGGGAGAAATTTGAATGAACATCCATTGATTTGCCACGCCTCTTTTTTTAAATCATACTTTTTTTTTAAGATTAAACTAGAACTATGACTGATTTCATACGAATTAGCCAATAAACTTAACAAAACTTAAAATACTTATGTTTTCTTGTGAGATCAGGCTGGCTATGCTGCTGAGTGTAATAGCCGATGAGAAGTGTTCAAATTAAGCATCAGCATCCAATCATCCCTCAAAATGCCAGAATTCTATATTTTTTTAGTTGCAAGTTTGTGTTTTACACATTTGGAGATTCACACATTACAACAGACAAATAAGAACTTCACTGATTATGCAACACAATCTCACGGCAATTCGTAACTTTTTCATTTAGTGGCTAATTCGTATGAATTCGTACGATCTAATTTGTACAATTTAGTACGATTTGCTTATCCCCCAATGACGGTTGGGGTTAGGGGTGGGGTCAGGTGCCACGCTTCCTTTTTAAAATCGTGCCATTTCGTACGACTGAACGAATTTGTACGAATTAGCCACTAAACTGGCAAAATGTAAAATACTTACGTTTTCTCGAGAGATCAGGCTGGATTATATCATAACTGTGTGAGATTTTTTAGTGATTCACAGCTTGTTAATGAAAGTAAAGAGAGTGAACTCTCTAACCTTGGTTATTTTCGTAACCAAACATGATTCATTTTCAACTATGATTCACATATACAGTAGTTAAAGAAAACTGTCCAAGCTCTGGGGCCAACTCCCAGCTGCACAAAACAAAGTCACCATTTTAGGATTCTGTGTAGTTCACATGCACTCATAAATATTTTTTTCCCCCTTTTTGGTTAAACTACTTATTTAAAATAATACTTATTTAAATTAACTCTATACATTTTACAGTGTAGAAATGAACATTATGCCATTAACATTCAGTTGTTCCAGACCTATTTGAGTTTCTCTCTTCTGTTGAACACAAAAGTTATTTTGAAAAATGCTGGAAGCAAGCTGGTATACCACAGGTATCATACTCAGTTTCTGGAGGGCCGCAGCTCTGCACAGTTTAGTTCCAACTAATTAAACACACCTGATCAAACTAATTAAAACCTTCGGCTTTGTTTGAAACCTACATGTAAGTGTGCTGAAGCAGGGTTGGAACTAAACAGGGCTGAAGTCCTCCAGGAACAGAGTTTGACACCTCTATACCCTTTGACTTTCATTTTTGTTCCTACCACGGAGGTTGACAGGTGCCATGCAAACTGCATTCTTTTAAATATCTTGAAAGAGAGAGAGTGTGTGTGTTCAACAGAAGAACTTTGAATTGTTTTTAAATAAAAAGTCTATTTATATAAACAAAGCAAAGGCAATCAAAATAGGCAACGTGCACTCATCGGCCACTTTATTAGGTACACCTTACTAGGACCAGGTTGCCTTCAGAATTGCCTTAATCCTTCGTGATATAGATTCAACAAGGTACTGGAAATATACCTCTGAGATTTTAATCCATACTTACATGGGACCACATCCCAGTGGTGCTCTATTGGAATGAGATCTCGTGACTGTGGAGGCCATTTGA